TAACTTACCTTATTCGAGCCTCAGTTTTTAAAATTGTGCGATAAATCTAATGTCACAAACAGGCCTGTATGCTTCACAGGAGTGTGTGTTTCAAGAGGAAATATGAGAACCTCAATGACACCGCTCAGTACAGAGTGATACTGCTGACCACATTCAGCGTCATTCTTGCGATGCGGTGCTTTCCTCATCAGCGACCGCAGCCTCACAGAAAATCCTCAATTTGGCGAAGACCATCGTGAGTTCTAAGAACTCCTCCTCTGGACACAGCCCGGCCCTGTTAAAATGATGCCACAGAAGCCAGCAGGGATTTTAAAGACCAAGGATGGGGAGCCAGGAGGGAGTTGTGCAGAGGCAAAGAGCTCAGGGGAATACGCCCTATCCTCCCTGTGCAGGCAATCAGAGGCTCCTGCTCTACGAACTTAATGGGAAAACAATTAAAATGCCTGTGGGACTTAACTTTATCTGTGTCTGCTGGTGTTTTCTGGTCTTGGTTCTTTGATTTCTCAGTTGGTGGTGTATATATAGTAAAAAATCATGCTTTCCGGTTCTGAGTTGGACAGATGTGTATGGCATAAGTGCCGCCACATGCAAAACCATGAACTGTCCCATTGGTCCAAAAATTTCATGTGGTTATTGGAAATCAACCATTTTGCTACAATTACCTCCTAGAATCTATTGATTTTGTTGATGCTGTTTTGCTTCATGTAAATGAAATCGTACAGTGCCTCACATCTTAAGTCTGGTTTCTTTCACCTAGCTTAAAGCATGTACGGGATTATCCATTTGTTTCACCTGTGAGTAGGTTGTTGACCAGTGTTTGTTACATTGGTCTAGCCAGATTGTTTACTGCTTGTTTTTACTGATTGTAATAAATTTGTTTTGAATACTTTCCTACAGGTCTGTGTGTGAGCATAGGCTGGCATTTGAATAAATACAATTGATTGGGATGAAGTGGAATTGTAGGCTGATGTGGTAAATTCATGTTTAACATTGTGGAACATTTTCAGATACCATTTTTAAAGTCATATACCATCCTGCTGTGCACTGGTAATACATGATAATCTCAATTCCTTCACATGGCTCCTTAACTTTATCTGTGTTCCTATCAGAATTATGATCCTAAAAGTCTTAAGACTTTGCAGAACTTATGCCACTGAAGGAATTCAGAGATGTTCTTTGGCTTTAGTAGAAAACCTAGGAAAGGTTTTCTCAGATGTCTGAGACTACAGTACTCTTGCAAAACCCAGAGACCAGTCAGAAACTTGAAAGATTTCTAGGAAATGATATAGGCATGTGGATTTTGCAACACTGTGAAATACCCAAAGGAAATGATATGAGCATATCAGAAAGACACCTGTGCTCCCACATCTACAGCTGCAAGAGTCACGATAGCTAAGATACAGAGTCAGCCTAAATACTCATCAATGGATAAGTGGATTTTCAAAAATAATACATATGAAATACTATTCAGTCATAAAAAAGAGGGGTATCCCATCATTCACAGCAGCAAAATGGATGAAACTGGAGAAAACAAATACCACATATGCTCTCTCAAATGCAGGTGCTAAAACGTTGATTGGAGCATGTGACAGTGATTACTGGAAGGTGAGGGCGGAGGGGAAGGAGGTTAGAGGGAGGATGGACCACAGGCACCAAAGCACAGATGAAGTAATAAACTCTGGCACTCTATAACATAAGGAGCCTGCAGCTCACAGGAACCTAATATATGTTCTGTGAGGAATTAAAACAAGAGTTCAGAGGCTCCAAACGTAAGGTAATGAGTGGAAACATTAATTACCTTAATTTAATTAATGCATTATACACACACACATATCACAATATGTTCCATATATGTACAATTATTACATGATAACAAAGACATTTTTAAATAGTTAAGGAGAGAAATCTGTTAAATACCCTGATTCGATCATTACCCACCATATCCATCTATCCAATGACACACTTTTCCCTATAAAGTTATACAGCCAGAAATATTCTAATAAGTAAATACACAAAACAATTACAACTTAAAAATAAATAAGACTGGGCATACGTTCACAGAGGTGCAGAAGATTAGTACAGAACAAAACGTGTGCTCGTTATGTAATTTCTGGTTAATTTTGAGACCTTAAGCAAGTAGGGCTTTGAGGCCCTGAATCTGCCAGTGCCTTGATAGGAAATAAATTTACATTCTTTGTGAAGATCCTTGGTCACAGATGTTCTTCTGCATCAGTACAAATGGAGTAAGAGAGTGTTCAATAAGACTTAATCATTGTAACTTCTCTTTCTTTGATATTCCAATTCCGTTAGTTCTAAATAGAAGAAAATGTATCTCCCCCTTGGGCTGTTTAGCAATGCTTGATGAAGCTTTTATTTCTCTTATATCTGGGGAAGGGAGTGCCGGTGACCATGAGCAGGTGGGGGCCCAGGTAGCAGACATCCTGCCGAGTACAGCACGGGGCCTCGTGGTGATTATCCAGCCGGAAACAGGAAGTCAATGCGATGGTATCTTACCTGAACTACAGGACTCGGCTCCTGCAGCAACCCTGAGTGGTGGCTGGTGAAACCTTTCTACAAGGAGCAAAATTACAGCTCTTGTCCGACCTGGCCCTACCACGCCTCGAGGCTTGCGTTATTGTCTCAATGGATCTATAAGGCCACCTCATCGTAAACTCTTGAAATGAAATTGTCCTTGGGTAGCGATTGTACGTATTTAAGTCTTCTTTTTATTTTATCAGTACATGTCTGCAGTAGGGGACATTTGCATTCATCCTCGGGAGCCAGTACACGCACATAATAAGGGCTTTTTAAACCCTTTTTCCCTTCCACCCCCTCCCAGTCCCTTTTCCCCACTTTCTTTCTTTGAACTATTATCGCACTCAGCATTTTTATGACATCTAATGTTAGGTTCGTTGAGGTTATTCCTGCACATGACATATATTGGTTCTCTTTTTTAATTAACGTTACTGGTATACTTTCACACACACATGATCACGTTCGTCCTAAGGAGTTTGTACCTGTACGTAATATGTCTTAATTATTTTGTTTCCCATCCCCTTCCCTTCAATTCTTCTTCCCCTCTTCCTTTACAAAACATTGTTTCTATTTCTTTTCCTTCCATTCTTCTTTATTTTTTATCCCTATTCCCTCTCTCCTCTTCTCCCTCTCCCTTCCCTCATTCTGGTTCCCATTTGAACATTTTCTTCCTACTTCCCAATATTTTGGTCCTTATTTACCCTTTGGGTTTTTCACACAAAAGAAACAAAACAATATTTAAACATATCTGTCAGATTTATTTCTCTTAAAACTATGGTCTCAAAGTGCATACATTTACCTAAAATGCCACAGGTTTATCTTTCTTTTTGGAAGAGCAGTACTCCATTTTATATTTTTTAAAAAAGCATATTTTATGTATCCATTCATCCTTGATGGGCATCTGGGCTGTTTCCAAGATTCAGCTATTACAAACTGTGCTGCTATAAACATGAATGTGCATATATCTCTGGGCTAAGATGTTTTTCATCCTTTCAGGAAGATACCAAGAAGAGGAATAGTTGGGTCAAATGCAATCTTTAGTTTTAGATTTCTGAGGAATCTCCATCCTGATTTCCATACTGGTTGTGCCAATTTACACTCCCACAGTGGAGAAGGGCTCCTTTTCCTCCAACAACTCCTCCAGCATTTGCTATTGGTTGATTTCTTGATAATAGCCATTCTTTTTGGAGTGAGAAGTAATCTCAGTGTTGTTTTCATTTGCATCTCCAGTACACAATCTCCACCTTTCAAATATATGAAAATAATCCAGGTAAAGTACAGTCCAGGGTATGTGTGTGATGTTACTTATGATTCGAAGAATTAGAAAATAAACTGATATATAATTTCAGAGACTTATTTAAATTCTATGACAAAGATAAAGAAGGATAATGAATTATTCAGTACAGCTATTTAAATGGAATGGCAAGTAAGGAGGTTTTATTAAAGAAGTAATGCAAAGTCAAGAAAGAGATTTTTTTAGGAGGAGAAAAATAAGCTGGAGACCAAGTTTTGGAAACAAATCCAGCAATTCAGATTCAGATAGTAATGGTTTGTCAGACTACTGGTTTTCCCCCAAGCCCCATACTCTTTTTCTTTCAGAGTACTGTGATTCTGGTTAGGCACACTGCTTTTCAGCTTGAGGTTTAATTTAAAAGTCAGCTTTGTGGGTGGTTGTGGCCATGTGACTGAATCCTTGATAATAGAATGTTCTCAGAAATAATGAGCACAGCTACTACATCACTTTCTAGAGAAGAAGTTGCTTTTCTTCCATCTCTTTCTCCTTTCCTCCAGGTGTAATAGTGATGACAACGAAAGGTTTTTGAACTCTAGGAGTTGATAAAAAGAGACAATGAGACAGGAAGCTCCATCCTAGAAGGGCCAAACAGCAGTCTTGACGGTTCTTTGCACACAGCTGCATCAGCTACTGCTGTTTGAGAAATACGTTGCTATTTGTGCCACTGTGTTTTACTTACTCCATTATAGCAGCTTTTAACTGTGCCAAATCAACCCCATAGCCACAAATTCTTTTTACCTCCTTTCTTCAGGCCGTGGTGTCTCTTTCTTTATCCCTGCATCTGGATCAGGATATTTCGCTTGAATTTTCTCTCATGATTTGGTGGGAGAAATGACTATGTTAGCTTCAGGAAGGTTTTCAGTTTTTCTTCTAGACTGTGAGAATGCTGGCCTGAAGGTGTCATTAAAAGGCTGGCCCAGACTCTGAAGATAAAATACGGTGGGGAAATCAGAAACATAACTGAGAGCACCTTAGACTTTCCAGCTGGGCTGCCCCTTTAGATCATATGCACGTTGGCAATGAACCCAGATGCAAACAGCAAAGGAACTTGCCTGGCCAGGGAAGCATAACAAACAATAAGCCAGTGATTAAGCCCCTGGATTTTGAGTTAGTTTGCCATACAATAAACAATTGATTAACTATACAGATTGTACAATCTCCCTAATTAAAATTATGGACAAAACAGAGTCTTCACTTTCTCCTTGGCTTTCCCAACTGCACCATTAACCTCTTTATTCCTTAAACTGTAGACAATTGGGTTCAACATGGGAACCACGATAGTATAGAACACAGATGCCATCTGGTCGCTGTCCATGGTGTGACTGGAGCTGGGCTGCAGGTACATGAAGATGACCGTGCCATAGAAGATGGAGACGGCAGTGAGGTGAGAGGTGCAGGTGGAGAAGGCCTTCTTCCGTCCCTCTGCCGAGTGCATCCTCAGGATGGCCGTGAGTATGAGCAGGTAGGAGGTCAAGATGACCACCAGGGCAGAGGAAACATTGAATGCTGCTAAGGTAAAGAGCACAATTTCATTCACGTAGAAGTCAGAGCAAGAAAGGGCCAGCATTGGGGGGATATCACAGAAAAAGTGATGGACCACATTAGAGTGGCAAAAGGACAGGGAGAAGGTGAGCCCGGTGTGGATGGCAGATTCCGCAAAGCCCCAGGCGTAGCAGCTGAGCACCATGTGAGCACACACACTCGCAGTCATGGTGGTGGTGTAATGTAAGGGTTTGCAGACTGCGACACAGCGGTCATAGGCCATGGCGGCCAGGAGGAAGCAGTCGACACTGGCGAATGCCACAAAGAAGAACATTTGTGCAGCACAGCCCCCATAGGAGATAACTTGATCCCTCATGAGGAGCCCAGCCATCACCTTGGGGGTTACGGCCGAGGAATAAACGCAGTCCACCAGGGACAGGTTGCTGAGGAAAAAGTACATGGGCGTGTGGAGCCGGAAGTCCAGCAGGATCAACATGACCATGCCCAGGTTCCCAAGGAGAGTGATGAGATAGATGAGGGTGAACATTATCAAGAGGGGAACCTGCAGCTCTGGGATGCCAGTCAGTCCCAGGAGTCTAAATTCATCCACCTCGGTACTGTTCCCCATGAGCGCCATATTGAAACTGTGTTTTACCTGTGCAAATAAAGAAAGCAAAATTGGATCAATTATATGCATAGAAAATGACTCCTAGCACACTCTTGGATGACATTCAGGCCTCCATCTGTCGAAGTCTGTGTCTAACTGCTAGTTACAGCCCCACTTGGATATTCCAAAGGAGCACTGAATTTTCAACTATTGCACTTTCACTTGGGTTGAAAGTTCGTCCTTCCTCTGTAAATTACTCTAAATGATCCAGAGTCGGACAACACCCATATTAACTGAGTACCATGCATCAGGTCGTCTGAAACAACTAAACATGATCTCCTTTCATCTTCCCAGCCATCCTGTTGGGTAATTGATTAGAATAATGTTACCGCCTTGTTTTTCTAGATGTGGAAGACTGGAGTCTGAGGTTGCCATCCACGCGGCTGTGATCCTTCCAAGGCTAAAGGAAAGACATTGTCCTTTCACTTCACGGAGAAAACACTACTTGAAGGACTCACTGAAAGAAGTGCAAAGCCCTCAAAACCACAGCCATGCAGAGAAAGCTGCACTGATCAGCCTGAGGCTTGCTCTGTGCTCTTGGGAGAAGCAGCACAGAAAATGCTCATCCTTGCTAATCTCCTTGGACAGAAACACAAAATCCTGCTGAAATTTCACCTGTTCGTTGGGAGAACTGCAGTGAGCGTTGTGTTGCCTACTTTGACTACGTCTTAAGATTCGGACAGCAGTTTACAAAGGTGATTTGAGCCAGGCATGGCGGTGAACACCCGCAATCCCAGCACTGAGAGGCTGAGGCAAGAGGATCACAAGCTCGAGCACAGCCTGGGCAACTTGGTTATTTAGCTAAATCCTGTCTGAAAGTTTTAAAAATGAAAACAACTTTTAAATGGCTGGAGATGCAGCTTAATGTGAAGTGCCTGGATCCAAATGACTCCCAGTAGCACAAAAAGGAGAGCAGTGATTTGAAACCATACAAGCGTTTGGAGAGGCAGCGTACTATGGTGGTGAGGAACACAGTCTCGGGTACCCACCTGACTACGCGGAAATCCTTACATTTCCTCTGATTGACTGGGTGACCTTGCACAGGTGCACCCTGCTTAGTATCTCACAGGGCCGTCTGGAGAATGTAACGACTTGGTAGGTTCTAATCATTCAGAATACTTCCTAATACACAACGCACAACAAATGGTAGGTATTGCTACAACGTAATAAATACTATCATTAAAAGAGTAGTACTATATACAATTGCTGAAGGGAAACACACATACACACACAGAAACGAAACCCAAAAATATCAAAACACCAAAGAAACTTCTGTGGATTCCTTCATAAAGTCAATTCAAAGCCACTTTTACAAATATTCACACAAAAAAAAATTTGGAGCCAAGCTTCAGCAATAGCAACAGATATAAATTTTGAGATGTCATCTTCTATTGCTTGAGGATCTATAAAAGGTTGCATGAATTATTTCATCTGTTTCTATAATCTCATTATGAAAAGGCCTCATTCATTTTGAAAATCTGTGTGAAATATCTAGTTGAGCCTGATAGTCTTGGACAAATAACGCTTTGACATGAGAATTACTCAGCTTTGGCTCTCTTTCCCTTATGCTCCACATGGGCCCTATGAGCACATCTGTTAACCCTGTTTTCAGCGTGTACCTCAGTCTGTGCAATAGTCGGACCCTTGGGGTGACCACTCCAGGCCACAACGCCATCCAACGCATCTCTGGAAGGAGCCGAAGCCCCACGGGAGCCTGGGAACGTTAAGAAGAATGGAGAGCTGAGGTGAAACAAAGACACAGATCTGGAGAGCAGAGGGAGGACTAGATACAAAGAAGGTGTAAGTGTTGTCCTTTCAGTCTTAGAGGAAGTGTACCAGAGACCCTCTCCTTTTAACTGGAACAGTATCAGCCACGGGCTACACAGCCCTGTATGCCAGGCCCTGCTACTCTAACTTGTGCAGATTCCATTCCCAGAGAGGCTGGATTAGAGGCAGAGTGCTCGAGGGAGAGATGTGACTATTTTAAATGTTGTTTCTGTCGACACACTGGACCTTCTGTACAGCTAAGCCAATCACTGATAACAATCAAAGACACAGAGGGACTAAATCATTCCCTGAGTGGAAGGCTGAGGTAGTAAGAAGGTACCTGAACTTTGGGATTGGACACTTGCGTTTGAATTGTGACTCTTTCACTTAATAATTTGAACATCATTTCTAAATTCTGTAAAGGTCACATTTCTCCTCTGAAATAGAGATAATGCCTACTTTGTAATTATTAGGGGAAATTCAGTACACATAGCTGAAAGCCTCCATTGATTTATCGCCCTACCCTCAGGCCTGGCATAGCCCAGGTACCATACAGATCACTCAGTACATGTTTTTGGCTGAATGAACTAGTAGAAGAGTAGTCATCATTCCTGTACGAAAGCAGCTCTGTACCGAGCAATCCTTAATGAGAAATTAATCAGAGGAGAGGTAACTCCTCTGACACCGTTGTGGAAGAATCTAAGGGGGACAGAATTCACCAACATTTCACTGATATTTTCCTAAGACACACACTTCATTAACATTATATTATTCAGGATCTTCCACTTTGGATTAGATATGGTCCATTTCAATAGCTTTCTTTTTTTTTTTTTTTTGGTACCAGGCATTGAACTCGGGTCCTTGCACTTGCAAGGCAGGCCACCAAACTGCTTAGATAAATCCCCGGCCCTTCAATAGCTTTCTTTTTTTTTTTTTTGGTACCAGGCATTGAACTCGGGTCCTTGCACTTGCAAGGCAGGCCACCAAACTGCTTAGATAAATCCCCGGCCCTTCAATAGCTTTCTTTTTTTTTTTTTTTGGTACCAGGCATTGAACTCGGGTCCTTGCACTTGCAAGGCAGGCCACCAAACTGCTTAGATAAATCCCCGGCCCTTCAATAGCTTTCTTAAAATGACCCTGAAAATATCCTCAGTGAAAAATAGATTGAAGCCTCAAGAGAAACATACTTATTCAAACATAATCCAGAAGATAAATATATGAAGCACCTTTTTAAATATAAGAAACAATTTCATTTATTATATACATATTATTAATTTAAGTTGTTGTAGTCATCAAATCTCCAGCAAGTAAGCCTTTTTAAAATAGTGAAATAGTGGGTCAAAAACAAGCATTTAAAAAAAATTATATTAAGCTAAATACCATTGCTAGTACTAGTTATAATTCCTAACACAGGTAGAAGATTGAATTTGCAGCTGCTCTTTTAAGTGTTTGGAAATGTTAACTCAGATAGATGGAAAAGAACGGAAAATAAAGATAAAAAAAGAAAATAAAGATGAAGTTCAAGTGCAAGGGTAACAGAGCTGTTTCGCTCTACGCATGCATATGTATTGGGTCACGGAGAATTTGTATGTGGGTTCCTGCGGACTGCAGTAACAAGAAGTCTCAACCCTCTGATCAAGAGCTTCCAAATACCTATGCAAAGTCCTGCACCAAGGGAAGCGTCAGTAACACAGGACCGTGCGTTTGTTCATAACGTGCTCATAAGCGGGGCATGTCCTGCCCAGTCACTGGCTCACTTCACCCCTCTTCCGTTCATTCACTCGTTTGTCTGTCTGGTCACTGTCTCAACATACATTTTCTAAGTGCCGTCCCGTGCACAGAGATTTTCAACGAGGACAATCACACCATCCTCTCTTGTCTGGATAAAGCATCACTTTCTTTAACCGTGGACACTGTGTGATATCTGAACTCTAGAGAACATGAAAGTGCAAAAGTACGAAGACTGAACAGGCTATCAACAGAACTGAGCTAGACACTCACCTTGTGCTTTAAAAGCAATACAGTTTCGCTTCAGATCTTCCAATCGCGAGTCCCACCCAAGAAGAATGAAAGGCTCTTGCTGAAGAAGCTCTGCTTCTCTAGCATTCTCAAGAAGAAAGCGATTGCTCACTGGAGATTATAAAACATTCTCCAACCTGTCGCACAGGGCTGCCTTGAAGACGGAGAGGAGAAAGACTGCATATATTGTAAGGTGATGAGCAGCTCTGAGAATGCGTTGCCCCACTGCCTGTGGACAATTTTATGAGGATGTTTTTTGACCTGGATGTGGCTGCAGGCTGGAGGAATACACCAGTGAGACGTGAAGCCACTTAACAAAAGGGGTGATTTATACACAAAAATCAGGAAGTCCGCGGCCACAGTCTTTGACACATAGGCTGTTCTTCTAATATGATGCCAAACGAGTTAGGTTGGAATGTGAGAGACCAGTTCCTGGTATCCAGAGGGGATAGCGCAGATCCAAGGTCCTCGGGGGGATTAGGTTCCCAGGGGGACGACCACAGAATCTCGTGCTGGTCGCCCAGAGTAGCAGCAATTAGACAATCTGTGGAAACTTCGTTCCGTTTGTAGAGGACCATCGCTTGGAGTCATTTCTCCTTGACAACTCAGAACATTATCTGGTTCAGCGTTAACCTTCCTGGCAGCTGTGAGACAGTCATTTGAGCAGTAAAAACAGAGAAAACATAAAAAAGAACTATGTACACCCGTACAGGTGTTTCTTTTTTATGTTTAGTGCATATTATTACACGACATAATGGGTTCCATTTTGGCATCTTGGTACATGCATACTTTGATCATTTTCAGTTCCTATCCTCTGCTCCTCCCTTCCCCTGTTCTCCTCCTTACCTCTAGTTGTCCTCCCTTCATAGGTTTTTTTTAACCTGTAGTCTACAGGTAACTGCTTTGGATTTAATGGCTACACCTTATGAAATGGTGAGGGCTTTTCTCACAATGCACAGCTTCCTGAGATGTGTGCTAACAAATGGGCTCCAATAAGAAGTTGGCAGTGAGCCCCAGGGGTCTCTGCTTCTGCTGTGAGATCCAGATGAACATTGCCAAGGGTTATTTGGTGTTGCCGATGAAGAGTGTGGTTTTGCTTTGTTTACAGGTTTTGTTCTTGGAGGACATTGAACAGAAAATGCCAAGTACAGAGAACTGTAATATTGATTTTGCCCAAGGTAGGT